AAGGGTTTATCTAAACACACATAGGTAATGGGAACCTAAATTACCGCTAGAGTGTCTTCTGTTGATCTCCGTTCAAGTGTAGAATAATGCAAAACGAGATTCAGGTATGCGCCAAAATGCATCCCTGCAATATGAAATTATTTTTTTTTAATCTGGCGAGGGGGTGCACCCTTCCCCACTTTGAAGTGCGTGTCCTCAATTTCTGCTCCCCCACTCCATAATCTTCGATCAAAGTGACAGTGACCGGAGCCTGTTTGTCTACAACAATAAATTACATAAATAGAATAAAGAGTTATATTTAAATATAATTTATTTATATTTTTGGCAGCACGAGTAGAAGTATTCTCATCTGGCTATCATTTCCCGAGTAGAAGTATCGTCATCTGGCTATCATTTCACGAGTAGAAGTATCGTTATCTGGCTATCATTTCCCGAGTAGAAGTATCGTCATCTGGCTATCATTTCACGAGTAGAAGTATCGTTATCTGGCTATCATTTCCCGAGTAGAAGTATCGTCATCTGGCTATCATTTCCATTACAATAAATAAATAATTGTGCACATGATTTATTTGGTATTTATTTTCTGTATTAGGTTTAATGACTGTGGCCCCCAGCGAAGAGTTGACAGGCGATCAAGGCGATCTGTGAAGTCATTTGGCTTGACCACTCCTTCCCTTACAGCACATTTTTTTTTTCAGGATGCACATAACATAACCCCCCCCCCACACACACACACACCACCACCAAAAACACTCCAGGTAGTACTCCTAACGTTATTTAAACAGAGCTTGGGACTTATTACCGAATAAAAATCCCTGACAGGTGTGTTAGCAAAGGACTAAGAGCAGGATACCTTGACCAGAAGAGCAGGATACATTGACCAGAAGAGCAGGATACCTTGACCAGAAGAGCAGGATACCTTGACCAGAAGAGCAGGATACCTTGACCAGAAGAGCAGTGATTGTTTTAGTTGAATAGATGACTGTATGTAGATTTTTTTTTTACATGATGAAGATGGATTCTTCTACATGAAAATAATAAGTCATCCGCTGAAGAAAAAAAAAACTGTTGTATATTTCGTGAAAAGATTAATATAACTTATATTATAAGGCCTGGTCTTATTTTCGGAAAAATAATGTGGAGTTAAAACGTTTAAAACTCTCAGTTAATGACACGTCACTGATTAAACATTATTCTAATGGACATTTTTTTTTCTAAAATAACTAAATTTTCCAATCTACGTGTAATATTATCTTGATTTTTAATCTTTATCTAAAATTGTTATTTTCTAAATATCTTTATATCAGCTGGTGATTTTTATGAAACCTGATCTTGATACTTTGTAAAATCTTGTTGTTTTCTAAGCTTACAATTATTGTTGATTGCATAGATAATTTTAACAAATTGATGACTCGTTGATTTATGTTGATATAAAAATCTGGACATTTGAACATATCCCGGTGATTCTAATAAAACCAGAGGTTGTTTGATGTCAGTGAATTGTTTCCTTAATCGTGGAATGTTGATGGAAACGGCTTAAACGTTGACTCTTAGGGGTCGTTCGCAAATTACGTCACGCTCAGTCTGTGTTGGGGGGGGGGGGAAGAATTTGTGACAGAAGGTAACAAACTTGTGACGTCACGTTAAAAAAAAAAAAAAAAAATCTAAAATGTTTTATTTTTGAAAAGGTAAAAAATTTGGGAAGTAAAGTTAAAAAAAAAAAAAAAAAAATCTAAAATGTTCTAATTTTGAAAAATATTTATTCAATTAATTTCATAAACATTAATTTGAGGTCAAAATTGCCTCGGTATTATTATAGGTACCATGAAACTTAGTCGTGCAGACCTTCTGCGAAAAATGACGCAAAAACTGTTCTGGCCATTTTGCATTCGGCTTGTGGATGACTTCGTTGTTTCGAGTCACAGTTTTCTAATAATACCACATCTTAATCAATTATGGGAAACTGTTAAGAATAAAATAAAACCTTAGCTGAATTATGCACATTTTATGCATGTTTTGATTTTGTGACACTTATTGACAAGGGGAGGGGGGTCTAAAAAGGTCTTCTTTTTTTTTTTTTTTTTTTTTTTTTTTTTTTTTTTTTTTTTTTTTTTTTGCGTGACGTCATTTGCGAACGACCCCTTACACCGTGTCAGATAGGTGTCAGACTGTATGAAAACGGGGTTAAAATAATCTGGTGTCGTTGGCTTTGTTTTT